AAGAGCAGTGCTCCGTGCTTCGGGCATGATGGTTTTGGCCTGGATGCAAGTTTTAGTGATCCTTCAAAAAAGATTCAGCAGGCAGTGGTCTTGTTCTTTACGCTGATGTCAAGCTCTCAGAGTGACGTGAAGCTCAAGGTTAATCCCATGGCAGGATTTTTCAAAAGTCTTGGGGCTGCCAGGTAGCCCTGAGTCAAAGAAATGGGTCTCTTGCCCACCCAGCACCCTGCACATCTGTTATCGTAGCAGCCTGAGACCTTCTGGCCTGTGTTCATCAGTGCCTTTGTGCATCCTGCACACCGAATAGCTGTGCTACCAGCTCACTGTTGAATGAGTGTTCTTCTGGATTACGGGAAGTACACGGTGTCTGCTTGTTGTTATTTTGCAGACGCATTGCCTATGGCTGGACAGGACAGTCACTGTGGTGCAGGCAGGAGCACCTGGCAAGTTTTACAGCAGACTGTCCATCACTCCGATGGAAGGCTCTGGGTTCTGGATAAAACTAGAGACTGGGAGAAGGTTGTTAAGTGGTTCAGTTCGAGCTCACAGCTTTATGGCCAGCTCTTGTCAACCACAACTGAGCAGCCTTGTCGTCCAACAGCATTTTCATGGCCTTATGAAGATGGTATTTGGCCACAAGAAGTTGGGAAGTGAGTGCTACCTGACACTAAAATTAGCTGCTGGACCAATTCATCCATCAACCTTGCTATATTCTGCTCAGGGCTGCCACTGAAATGCTGGAGACCTCGTCCAAAAAAAGAACTATTAATCTCTCATTTGTTAGCTGTCTGTAATGTGGTACAATGTGCAGGTGAGAGGTTTAAATAGGGCTGCGGAAAGCTCCTAGATGTTCACATTACAGGTTTGCAGGGTATTCTTTGCCATTTGAAGGCCCATCTCCAGTCTGCGACAGAAGAGTGTCAGTACCAGAATGCCAGGGGCCACAGAGCAATGGCCTTCTTCTCGGTTAGGAGCCTGCTGTGGAGGGGAAGGTTTTGTCCTCCGGGGCTGTGATGACAGGCAGTGGTGGAAGAAGCACCCTGGGAGGACTGCTTAGGAAAGTTACACTGCCCCTGCTAGTGCTGCCTCCCTGCTCTTCAAACTCACTGCAATTCTCACACCCACTTAAGCTATCCTAAAAATAATTTTAAAGTGATACCTGAAGTACTAGCCTGGTTTGGGTTATTTTTACACCTTTCATGGCAGTTTTCACCAAGGGATCTTAATGTACTTCATGAAGGAGGGCAAATAATGTTATCCCATTTTACATGTATTTAGGAGTGCCTTACGGAAATGGCAGAACAGGCAAAAGTAATGATTACATTTAAAAGGTCCATGGGAGCCTTGGTTTAAAGTAAGTAGGTCTGTTCCTGCCAGTTTGAAGTGATCAGTAGCAAGTCATCTACAGTAAGGAAATTTTAATTGCAGACAACTTCCTGTACTGTATTAATTGGTTATTTTTTCTTTGTATTAAAGTATCCATCCTAAAATAGCAAAATGCTGATGACAGTGCAACTCTGACAGACGTGTGTGCTCTTTCTTACAGCTATCAAGCCTCCCACCCCACCTTCTGTCCAGCCAGGAGAGGACCAGAAAGCAAATAATATCGTCACCATCACAGGTATCTCCCTATGCTTGTTCATCATCTTTGCCACCGTTCTCATCACCCTCTGGAGGAAGCTCTGCAGAGCTCAGAAGTGCAGCACCGCCGTCCGCCGAAACTCTGTCCATTCCCCCGGCTTCCGGAAGAACTCCGATGAAGAGAACATTTGCCAAGGCAACAAGCAGCGGGACAGCTTCGCAGAAGGAGGGGATGCCCCTGTTAACATTCCTCTGACCTACAGGCGAAGCCTCCAATTTGCCCAAGAAGGTGATGCCTCTGGAAGTGAGAATTTCCAGCCAAACGCCCAAAAAATAATCCCTCCGATTTTCAGCTACCGCCTTGCACAGCAGCAGCTGAAAGAGATGAAGAAGAAAGGCCTGACTGAGACCACCAAGGTGTACCACGTCTCTCAGAATCCCCTCACAGACACGGTTGTTGGTGCCACCACAATGCTTCCCCTGAGCGGGGAAAACCAAGAGGAGGCAGCGGCAAACAAATTTAGGATCAAATCTCCATTTCTGGACCAGCCAGCCAGTCAGCCCAAATTCCCAGGGGAAAGCTCTCACCCTAGGCTGGATTTTCCATTCTCACAGGCTAATCCTGCAATGAGCCCTACCCAAACCTTGATAAGAAGAGCTCATTTCAAGCACCAGGATAACAGAGGGGAGTCGTCCGAGAGGGGCTGTCACAGAAACCCGCAGTTTAGAAGAACGGCCAGTTTCCATGAAACTAAAAAGGCCAGGCCTTTCAGAGAGAGAAGCATGTCCACCCTCACCCCCCGACAGACTCCTCTCTACAACTCCAGGACCAGAATGTGGGACCAAGGTTTGGAGGACAGGACGCGGCCAAAATCAAGAACCGCTAATTCAACTTGTGAAAAGCTGGATCAGCCCCACAGCACTGTGCCGGGGTGTGAACCACAGGGCCATGGCCCAAAGAGCCACCACAGGGCAGGTCCCCTGGTGAAGAAGCTGGACCTGACCGCTGACCGCCAGCCTGCCAGTCAGAAGGCAGCTGATAAGGCTGAGCCCAGCCGAAGTAAGAGGGGCCCTTCACCTAACCCCAGAGGCACATGGCAGAAGGAAACGGGATCAGCTGGCAAAGATAATTCCCAGAGAGGCCTAAGTGTAAGCCCTGCCCAGTACCGAAGGGACAAGTGCCAGAGCTTCCCCTTGGACCCTGAGTTTGCCTTTTATGATAATACTACTTTTGGCTTAACGGAGGCAGAGCAGCAGATGATCGACCTCCCTGGGTATTTTGGCTCAAATGAAGAGGATGAAACAAGTACTTTAAGCATTGAGAAGCTGGTGATCTGAGTGACTCATTGCAGCCCTGCAGGAGGGGCGTGCGCGGGAGAGGATCTGCAGGATCTGTTGGCTTCTGGTGGAAGGAGCAGCGGGAATTGCATTACCTCCACACGGAGCAGAAGGGAATAATGCCCCAGTCTGGCTTGTGGGAACACATTCCTTTCTAATTACTGGAAAGTGCTTCCATATCATTATTTTTTGTCTGTAATGTGTGTGCAATACACACAAAATACCCTGGGAAAGCATGTGTTAGTGAAGGCGTGACGCAGGAATAGCCAATAGATTTTATTGCATAAAGCAGTCACGTTTCGTGCATCGTATATAATGAATGCCACTGATCTAGCCTTTCTCACCTTGTGGACCATGTACTAGTAGATTATGATGTCCTAAAGCAACCATCTGTCCATGTGAATCATTTCCCATTTAGAAAACACAAACCTCAAGTTGTGAGCAGTTTTCATCGGTTTTTTGATAGTTGTTATTGAACTGTGTTAATTTGTTGTAATTGCTCAAGTAACTCATATAGTGGTGGTTCTTTTAGCTGGTTGCATGGAAGTGCAAACAATTGATGCTGAATACTTGGAGAGAATTTAAAATCGAGGGGGTGTTTTTAATCATTCAAGACTGATATTTTCTTTCTGCCAATATTTATATCAAGAAAACACAGTAACTTACAAATATTTGCATTTGCAAAATGAGTAGAAAAGGGCATGCCCCTGGGAGGGCAAAGAAAATTGATGGTCAAATTTTAGCCCTCAGAAGCGTTACTGGAGCATTCAAGTACCTGTAGAAGGCAGTGAGAGAACTGTTGAATCGCCCATCTTTTCTATAATCATCTTTGCCTTTGTGAAACATTTTTTGTGTGTAAATAAATTGACGATAATGCTACTACAGTAAGTTCAAAATAAATTATGAACAGAACCAGCGAACAACACATTTATTTGACGAATACCTGTTTTGCAGAGAAAAAGAAAAAGTAAAATGGCTTGACAACATCTGGTGATTCCTGGAGAATCTTATGGTGAAGTACAAAAGTTACATTGTGGTTTTTGTAATGCTTTAAAACCACAGATCACAAACACACACGACTGCAAGTATTCAGAGCTGGGTTGAAACCCCAGTTAACAACAGAGGTAGAGCTCGCGCCAGTGAGAATGACTCAGAGACTTTGCTTGCCATTTGTTAGGATAACCGTCTCTTCAGGGAGTTTGCAAAGACCAAGGGAGTGCTATTGGGCAACAAGAAGAAAAGAGGAGGTGCTGCCTGTGGAGGATGGAGTGAGAGAAGGTAGGTTCAGGCAGAGGGCTGTCAGTCTTAAAACAACTCTCCCATAAGGACCCCAACCCTACATGCCCTTTAACCCACCTTGTGGGTGTGAAGGAAAAATTAGCATGTGCTTATTTCTCCAGCAGTAGGCTGCTATCTTTCTTAAAACTGCCTTCTGAGTGGAAAGCCAGATTTCCCAATCCCACACTTTTTTTTTCCTCTCCAAACCAACAACCATTTTAAAGGGAGAGCAGCATTGCTGTGCATTAGCCAGTTACCGATGGCACCCCACTGAAGTGTCCAAAGCGTGCACAGGTAACTTGACAGGCGCACAGCGGGAGGGCTTGCTGTGACCGCCTAGGAGGAGCCAGACGCTCAGCATTCGGCCGCCAGAGTCAAACCCTGCCGTTTGAGGGGCCTTTTTGATGGCTAGCATTTTGCAGCTGCTGCTGGAGTGCCGGATCTGACTCGCAGGGTGATGTGAGCTCCCTTTCCCAGGAGCTGCGCCAGCATGCTGTGTTGTCTGCATTCAGCCCTTCGGCCCAGCACCGTGTTCGTACCAGCTACGCGTTCCCATAAGCTGTCATCCTGAAATGCTGTTTAAAGCATTTGAGAACATGTCCGTGCTTGAGGTGCGATCCAAAGCTAATCAAATGTAATGAGTCTTTAAATTGACTTAAATGAGCTGGAAATCAGACCTCTGAAGCAATTGCTGCTCAGGTTACTTACCACCCCTGCGCTAGGGTAAACTCCGTTGCGTGAAGCGCGTTCGCCCTGAAGCAGTGATCTGTCAGCGTTGGAGGTACAGTGCTACAATATCTGTTTACAGCTTTGGTGAGCCCCTCAGCACAGGAGACCCTGGAGAAACAGGAGATCAAATGTACAGCACAGCAACGTTCAGCAAGCCTTCCCCTAACCTTCCGTGGGAGTGATTTGAGCTTGGCGGTAGCCCTCAGATCAAACAAGTACTCGGGCTAGTGGCATTTTACCCTGTTTATTAAGATAAAGAGGGTTCAGAAACACTTCCCGAGGTTTGCTGTGGGAGTTGCAGGGTCCTGCACCAAGCCCTGTGACCCCTGCATTTCCAGTGGGGTTCTCTGCACCGCAGGAGGGCAGAGGAGGGGGAGCCTTGCTCTAAGCCAGATGCTACTGCCTGCAACCTTGGCCCAATGTTGGGCTGCGTTCAGAACAGCTACTGTAATGCATTAGATGGACTTATGTACACCTTACATCTAAGACAGCAAAGCAGACCCTTCATCCCAGCTTGTCAGATCTTGACCCCTTTTTCTCTCTCAGAGAGAGAAAAAAGCACCGTAACATATTGATGCTGGCTGAAGGCAGTCCAGCTATAATGCCTGCCTCTCCATATGGACACAGGGCAAAACAGGCTCCGTACTCTGGACTTTTACATCGCTCACTGCGCACTCACTGGGGAACTGGCCTGGGTAGCAGTTGTCTCACTAAGCCCTGTTGACTTTATCTCCAGCTTGATACTCCATTATCAGATGGGCTATCAGCTGCTCAGTGAACTGTCAACCACTAGTATTGTCCGTTTGGTGCTGTAGTTGATTTCCAGCATGCAGAGTTGAGTATCACCAGTCTGTCATCTATACCCTGCTTCCCTAGCTCTCTACTGAAGAATGGGGTTGAGCATCATCTGCCAGAAGGCATTAGCAAGACCTTATTTCATTCACATTTCTCTGTGTCTTCTGCTTACATGAAAATTGTCCTTACTGCCCTCAGCACTGCATTGGCGGCCACATGGTTATAACGTATGCGCAGTGATTCCTTATCTTCCCAACATGGAGGTAGAACCTTGCACTAAGGTTTTACCATTGTAAAATACAGAAGTAGTGATCGGAAAGGAAATGGTAAGTGCTGGTTGTTCACACTCCTTTCTTCACAAGGGAAACCTCATTTCAGAGATGTAGGTGCAAGTTTTGTTCCACGTGGGTACGTGCCAGCGCTTGGGAAGAGGGCAGCGGTGCAGTCTTGCCAGGGCTCAGGCTTTAGGAGCACGGCTCCCTGGAGTGCTGGCCCACTGCGCTCTGGTGTTCACGTTTGCAGTCGCTGGGATGTATAGGAAGAAGTGAGAACAGGGTTTACCTCTTGACAAGGCAGAGGAACCAAAACAAGGTTTACACTGAACCTTCGCATGTCTCTGCATTGTCTCCAGGACAGCTTGAGCCATGGAAATTAAACTTACCTTGCAAACCCTCTAAGCTACCCAGGACAGCAGGTGTAAAAGCACCAGAGCCAACACCAAAAGAATGAAATTCTCATATTACGAGCTTTCTCAAGATTTTCATCCATATTTCTGTTCAAGTTCCTACTGTTGAAAACCAGATACAAAGTGTTAAGTACTACTCAGATGGTTTTATTTCACACTTTATGGATATATATAATACAAATTACAATGTGTATGGATCTAAAAGCAAATAAGTGGAAAAGAACTACCAGTTTAAAAAACTATTGTAATTCAGACAAAAAATAGGCTCATTCTACAACATGGTAGTTAAGTGATTTGCATCAAGCTGATATTACTGTTCATTTTTAACTGTTGTTTAACAACTTGTGGAAAATAAATTTCCAGTATTCCATTTCTTTCGGTCATTTATGTTGCTCTTTCATTTCACTCCGATGAGACAATGAAAGCAGTGTGCCTTATGGTTCAGTCACTTTCCACTTTCTGATTCCCCTTCACTAACTCAAAGTCAGCTGGTACATTACACGAGAACGTACAAATAAATCATGACTGCATTTTATGAACTACTAAGAATATCTGTGCTCATCTTAAATTCAGTAAAACCTGCCTAATTTTAATCTGGGATTTAAGTCTGGTTGGCAGCATTGTCTGTCTGCATTAATGTGTCGTGGTGTGCTGTGGAAGTGGATCTGCAGCGGGAAGCTGTTGGCACTGAAACCTGGTGTCCGCACTGTCCGTGTTGTGGGGGTTCACTTTGACGTAGCCTTAGTCTGGATGCACGTTAGCAGGTGGAGCACGTCCACCCGCTGGTTTGGTTTCACACACTCCAGGAGCGCTGTGCAACTGAAGTGTGGCAACTGGGGACCATAGGGAGAGTCGCTTAAAAACATTCTCCTGATCATAGAGAAAAACATTCCCCTGATCATAAAGCACTAACGAAGGCACACCAGATGAAGTCCAATTCCCCATCACCTTGTTGTTTCTATTCTTACGTTCTCGTAACTGAAGCACTGGCTGTTAAAATCAAGATGAGAAATATTTAGCCCTTGAAGAGTACAGATAGCTGAAAGAACATGCTTGATCATTCAAGGTCCAGAGAGCTTTTCATAAACACTCTCCAATGAAGTCCTGAAAATTGTTGAAAAAGAAAACTCTGGTTATTTCATGACTGACATCTGTATGTTTTCCATTAAATTGTTGGCTGGCTGTGCTCAAACAACTCGCAACGTTAGCTTCAGCTAGTAGAAACAGGTGCAGCTCCAGTTATCATGGTGCAGGTTTGGCGATTGGCAGCAGCAGAGGGCTGGCTTTTAACTTCCACAATTCTTTTCATCCTGTACTTTTTTTCTTTCCAAAGCAGCAGGTTTCAGCTGCCCTGACTGTTCTCACCGTCGCCACTCTCACTGTCAACAAAGAACGGAGCCCTGATTTTCATGGCCGAGTACTTTAGCGAGTACCACATCCCACGCCACGTAGACCAAACCATGCCATTGTCATGGGATCCATTGTACCTTCCTGTTCTGTAGTATCGTCCATTGAGGTTTACGGCATGGCACCTTGTAACCATGTAGGAGAGGGGGAAAAAGGAGATTAGGCTTTGCATCATTACAGTGAAGTACAATTTTCACACAACATACATTTAGAAGTACCAGGGTGGGATTCATTGACAGGTTCAGACACCTAGATGTATCTGTCTGTACTGAACTGCTTATCTAAAGTCCTCCAGCCTATGGAGATCTGGTTAATGCATTTAGTGGAACCCAGAGAAGTATCCCAAAGCAGACACCTTCGCTGGTCAGATAATTCAACCTGTTGACTCCTTCAAGTGTATTAACTAGGGACATGATTCAGTTGCCTACGCAGAGGGGTGTAGTGCCATTTGGTAGGCTCTAGCTCAAGTGTAGGCAGCTATGTATTGACACCTAAAAATGCAGATGTCTTTTAATTGAGGTAAATCCCACTATTGATGTACATTTTTGTAGCTCCACTGATTTCTATTTGTATGTGGTGAGGGCCTGGTCAAAGAAGAGGCTCATCCTGCACTAAAGCAGAGAAAAACTGAGCGCGGTGTGTCCATGCTTCCAGGGCTGGTGAACCTGAGTCCCTGTCTGTCGATGTGTGGGGTATGCCCAACTAGCAAACACACCATCAGGACTCTGAAGGGGTAGCTCGCCCCCCAGACATGCTCCACAATAGAGAAATGCCTTTGTACACACTTCACCTTGCAGTGGCTACAATTGTCTTCTTTCCTGGGATATAGCCCAAAGCGCTTTAAGGGATTTTAATTGGGCTCTTTTCCTTCCAGGACATGCCCCCCTGTGCGTTTATTCTGACCCATTTGCTTAAAATGAATGCAACTTACCTGTGGCCCAGTTTCTTGAAATGAATGCAACTTACCTGCTTTGCTTCATAATGAAAGAAAGATTGCTTTCCTTCGAGGATCTGTAAGTGAACATCTTAGATTTGGCTGTGCGAGGTGGCAAACGCACACAGCAACCTCCCGCTGCTGTAAGGTAGGCAAGTCCTCTCGGCTGTACAGCCACCCACACCCTACGCATCCGAGAGGAATCAACTGGTTTCCATACCTGTTAAACCACCAACCGCCCTTGTTTTCTAATGCACAGTTGCCTGCCAGGAAGCGATCGTGATCCTTGTCAGATGTGGTGAACTGCATCCCTCTGTGAGAGGCTGACCACTGATCTTCAAAATTGCTCCCACCAGACAGAGCGTCGCCAGCGTTACCAGAATAGGTGCCAAACCATAACCTGTAATTGTCCTGCAAGAATATGTGAAACATGTCTTTGATATCAGCTCTTTCTGCCCTTTCTGCCATTTTTGAGATCAAATTTGCTCTGGCCATAGTATCCACTGTCAAAGGCAGCGTTGAAGTCCTCAACAGTTGACTGTTGAAGTCAAGGGTGACTTTTGGCCCCATGCTTTAATGATCCTAGTGTAGATCAATATGGGATTTAAACTTCCAGAAGGGACTGCTAATTACTCCTGCTGCTGCAAAGGGCTTCAGGCTTTATTGTCTTTCAATAACCATTTGATACACTAGACAACAAGCTGGAAGGCTCTTCCTAGCTCATCAAGAACAACTTGGCAGGAAACTGTGCTAAGTAGTTGCCTTCCTAAACTGATCGGTTGTTCAGCTAGAATAGCTCCTTAGGATTTTTGCTCCTCCAAGAACTAGAAGACATCCGATTTCTAGCTAAATGGTCCTGTCCTGGTAGGAATACTTAGACGAATAGTTCCATTGTGCACAGCTAACAGATCTAAAAGACATTTGATATGAGACGGATGATTACTTTTGTGGTGTGGGCTTTTTCCTGTCATCATATTCCACTTTTGTTTATGAGAAATAGCAGTAAGGTATTAAAATGAAGCTGTTCAAATTTTTCATAAGAAAACCCTAATTGCAAACTGAACGTAACACGTACATTTCTGGAGCAGTGATGGAGTTGGAATTAGGACTGGTTCATGCAATGGAACTCATGTCCTTGGGTATTCGGCCTACTTACAAGTGGTGTTCAGAAGGGCAAGCCTGCAAAGAACAGCACCTGCATTGAGCAGGACGCTGTCTAAAGCTAGAATGCAAACAAGAAAATACAGGGTTTTCTGTCCTTGGGCTTTCACTACTAAGTGTAGTGCCACAGGTACCTGTCTTCAAGATAGGAACTTACAACC